GGAGAAGAGGAAACCCCTCATAGTGAACTTTTGTAACCAAAGTACCAAACTTTTTGGGGTGGAGGCTGAGTTGAGTGGTATCAAGGTGGACCCTAAGGAAGTCCTTATGGATGGCCTCCTATACAAGGACCAAGGGTTTGAGAAGGAAAAGGAAGAAGTACATTATTTGTAAACTGAGCTTGACCTTAGTGAGCTAGATTATTTCAAGGTGGTGTTGGATGGTTTCCTAGTGAAAGAAACCGACTAGACAGATAACCAGAATGTGGATCAAGAGATGGAGATACCACCCCACCCAAGGAGGTGAATCCTAAATACATAACTATTACAAAGGATAAGGTTTTCCAACTAGATATATCGCTCGAAGATGTCTCCATCACCTAACATGTTACTTTTTTATGCTTGTTGTAATTTATTTGAGTAATATACCCTTCCTCATTGGGGCCCTTTTGTAATTTCTAAATATTTTCATTAATGAAAATATCATCCTATGAATGACTAACCCTACAATAAAACGTATTATGAGGCATCTCAATAGAACACCTCTTATGGATTTATGATTGTACTTTAGTTGAGTACTTTGATTTCGATTTTGATGGGTAGAAATTAGATAAGAAAAGTATATTTGGTACATGTCATTTGCTTGGAAAATCGATTGTCTCATGGCATAACAAGAAACAAGTAAGTGTTACATTATACACAAGTGAAGCAGAATATGACTCGATGGGTAGTTGTTGTGCGTAATTTATATATATGAAATGACATTTATGTGATTATGGAATTAATCTATGAATTGCCCCGATAAAATGCAATAACACTAGTGTCATAAACTTCACAAAAAGTATACTCTTAGGGGAAGAAAAGTACACTCTATCAATCTATGAATTATCCGTGTGTTTTACATGACCTATGTGCTTATGTTTTTCCTTCCTTTTTTATTATTCGAAATGGGTAAAAGTATACTCTTATGGGGAGAAGAGTATACTCTATCAATCTATGAGTGGGAGTTTAATCACTCCAAAACTTTAATCACTATTTTCTATTTACATCCACCATGAGAGATACATTGTCACCATAAAAGAGAAGGGGTAATGTAGATCTATATGCTTGCAAATATGACCATTAGTTGGTTTTGATGATGGCAACTGATGAAGAAGTCTTAAAGACAACAACTACATAGGTCAAACTGCTTGTGGATGTTGAGAGGTCTTTGTGACAGATGGATTTAATTTCAACTGTCAAAGTAAAGCTTATGATGGTGACACATAACTAAGAATATATCTTAACCCTCTTTATAAAGAAGATTCAAGTTCTATATGAAAAGCTAAGACAGGGTTGTAACCAACAAGATAACTTAAAGACTTGAAGTTGTGAAAGTGTGAAAACTCACCTAATCATGTGTTTCATGTCTTAGAGTGATTAGTTCAAATATAAAAAGTCAAGAGTAAGTATTGTTGTACTATATAAATTACACACACTCACTCACTCACACACACACACACACACACACACACACACACACACACACACACACACACACACACACACAAACACACACACGCACAGACACACACACACACACACAGAGACAAAAGTATTTAAAACCCTCTCTTATCTTATGAAATCTCTTGAAAACATATAAAAACTTGTGCGGAATTGATTAAGAAGTATTTTTAATCAATTGGAATTTTTTTACACTTCCTAATCAATTAAGGACTTGACAATCAATGAGAGAAGGTAAGGCCTCTTAATCGATTAGAAAAGCTTTTAATCAATAAATGCATATAGTTACTTTAAGGTTTCCTTTTTTGGATAAAGGTTGTTGTATTTTGAAATATTTTAATTGATTAACGACCAGGTTTAATCGATTAAATCATTAAAGTGGCCCATGAATTATTTCCTTTTTGAGCCAAACTTTTTCCTATATAAAGGAGGTTTCTCCTCATTTTATTTACAGCAAATTTCTAACCAGATTACCTTATATCTTCTTCTACTCTCTCTATTTTAATATTTACTTTCCACAATTATTTTCATTGTGTTGAAAGACCAACTTGTGTTAAAAGCTTTGTTTGATTATTTAAGGTTTGATGGTTGATCCTTTAGAAGCTCAAGCCGAATATTAGTGGAACCCTCTAGAGAAAAATCTTGGGGATACGATTAGCTAATTTATTAGGATGAACTTGTATAAATATCTAGTGCACTCTCTCTAAACTCTTATATCTTTAATTTATGTTAATTATTTTTATTTTCATTATGTTTATCTTCATTTTCTTCATTCTTATTAACCATAACATAAACGTTTTAAAAATTAAAAGGATTTCATAAATTAATTACAAATTTTGAATATCACATTTCACCCCTTGTCACTTGTTCAACACAAAAAGTTTAAGTCTTTGGCCATCTCCTGAACCATCTGGAAATATTTCAACAACCAGAACTCCTTTGTATGATATTCTCCTTTAATCTAGTTGACAAAAAAGATGGGAGACACTTCTTGTGCGCATGATGCTTGCTTCTATTTCTTTTACCAATTTTATTCCTACAATCAGCGCCTTGTACTCAACTTCATTATTGATGGCCTTGAACTCTTCCATTAATGTTAAATTATTTTTTGAAGAGTCGGATCATGGGTCTAAATCAACATAGTTAACCCTTATAACACTGTGATCTTGGGGTAAAAGGGTTTGGGGATGACCTTGGTGAGGTAGATGTTTTGCAGGATCTGCTCCCTACTCGTGCCCAGTTGGGTGAGCTGCTCTAATGGCCTTCTGGAAGGCTTGATTGCAAACTTATTTCGATTTGATATCGCGTTCTGATTCCTTTGTTAGTCGGATACTTTAGAATTTTTTCCACCTTGTTCTCTTGCAACTTGGGTTCTTTTTTCAGCGTTGTTTTCTTCCCTCTTTATGCAACATTCTGCTCATGCCACAATCTCTTCCATCAAATCTGCTTACTTCTAGACCAAGGACTTGTTGAAGTGTTCAACATTGAGATTGTTCTAGAAGGCTCCAACAAACATATCTTGGTTGCGGTTGACGACCATGATGTTCTCTTCATTAAATGTGACCAAATACTCGTGCAATAATTCATAATATCCTGGTTGAATATTAAATAAGTTGGTGGTCAAAACTTTTCTATGCTTGTTGGCTGAAAAATGATGAATCATCTTTCATCTTTCTATCCGGATATCGGTAGCCTGACATTGAAAAAATTTAGAAGGGTCATGTATCACCTAAGACGGTATCCTTGAGGGTTCTAGCCATTAGTGCGCACTTCAATGAGTCGTCTACACCAATTATATTCATCTGGATGTTGATGAAGATAATATTCTCTTAGAGATCATTCTTTTCATCAAATGACTAAAAGTGCTAACTTGAAGTTTTCGTTGACTTGAACATCCCAAATCTCTGTTGCGAGTGGTTAGGGATTGATGGGCCCCTATTCTTAGGCCACATCTAACTCTATGTTTTTATTGTTGTAAGTCATGGACGTTTTCTTGTAGCACTTCGTTCTAGCAACGCAGTTCATCCATAGCGGCTAGCATATTTCCTATGGCAGTATAATTATTGTTGTGGTTGTTGTTGCTACTGTTTGTCTCTCTTGTCTTCATTAGATGAGGTTGGATCACTGTTGGAGTATGTTTGTATGGTCCATTTCAGTTTTATTGGACCTCTCGATGGGAGCCATATTTACTTAAATTCTCTTTTCAGTTGTATAAATTTATTCTTCTTACGTTCTTCTTTTTATATATAAGTTTTAATGCGCCTTACACTATATCTCGTCAGAGACAATTTAATATGGTTGCTCTTGATTGATATGATCTCTTTATTGTAATTGAGAATCATATTTGATTGTTTCAAATCTCATACCATATCTCTTATCGACCATAAATGCATTCCTAATCATATCTTAATCAAATATTAACATAACCAATTTGATCCATTAGTTATTTCAACACAATCTTGTTTTCTTAAGTGGGTTATTAATAAGGGTTAGTTTTATTGGATCATGCGCGCTTTAGAACTCGGCCGAAAAGATTGGTCATGCACACATGTATATGAAAGTTAGATTTTTTTTCTAATACCTCATTGCATACAATTAGATTTGGTGCATGTACCTATTGATAAACTTGTTTTTGTAAGGAGCAAGGCCATGAAGTAGGGATTAAGATGATTTCAATTGCTTCCTCTCCATTTCTTCTCCTATGAAATAGACCTCATGTGGAGCTTCAATCAAATAATAAGAATATGTCAAATTATTCAACAAGTCTAAGTTATGTATGGTTGTTTTAAAGTTAAAAAGCTTATGCGACGACATGTGAGAATGTGGCACTAGTCACAACTACAACATTACTACTCATTAGAAAGGACTATATGTTAAAATGAAAAACAAAAGTTGAAATTCATTGTCAAGAAAACGATTGTAGATTGTGACACTTTAAAATCATAAGCAAGCAAGTTGTCAATTTATAAGTCATAGTTTTAGTTTTGGATGCTTCATTTTTGGTATGCCATATATGGCATTAGTAATACTACTTCTACTCCAAAAAACCTAGACAAATCTTGGCCGTTGAAATAATCTCCCAATTATTCTCACACAAGTACACGTGCACCTATCACACATTTTAAAATTTTTTATCTATTATTACTTGTTGCTTTCATGCATGGAATTCTCCTCCAACCCAAACAAATGAAAGAAAGAGTCATTCTTATGCTTTTATTACCTCTTAACGTTATTACTTCAACTCTTGAACACACCTCATTAATTTAATTTAATCAAAATTTAATTTTTGTTCATTCTATTGTGAAACGGAAATGAAGGGGTCTCTCCCCTTTTTGTGGGTCGGATCTTGTACTTATACAACTGTCACATCTTCACCATCATCATGATTCATGATCATGAAATAATGCACATTTCATGTTTGTGATATTGTTTCTTAGTAGTTTTTTTTTATATATTTAGATCAGATTCATATAATTCTTCAGTGTTGTGATTGTGAATCAATGGAGGAGAAGCAAAGGAAGTTTGTTTGTAAGTATTGTTTCAAGAGATATCCTTGTGGAAAGTCTCTTGGTGGTCACATCAGAACACATATGAGTGAACAAAGAACTCATAATGCTGCTGCTGCTGCTGTTGCTACTGTTGCTGCTGCCGATGCTCGTGTTTTCAAGGTCGATGGTGTTAGAAACAAGAGAGATTCTGAAACTGTTGGTGGTGGTGCTGATGGAAACAACAGTTATGGTCTTCGAGAGAATCCGAGGAAAACAATGAGGTTTGTGCATTCTCATTCTCATCAACAGCATCCTCGTCATGATGATCATGCTGCTGCTCCTGCTGCAACCGCGGTGATGGAGCATGAAATGATCAGATTCTGTAAAGACTGTGGGAAGGGATTTTCTTCGTCGAAAGCTCTTTGTGGTCACATGGCTTCTCATTCTGAGAAAGAGAAAAAGATTAACAGATTTGATCAAGTTATGGAGGATAGTCAATCTGATGATGAGACTGATGATGATGCTGCAACAATGAATCTGAGGAAATCAAAGAGAAGAATTAGGTTCAAGTCTCTTACTCTTTCGAATCAAAATCGAAATCAAATTCAAAATCAACCTTCTTCTTGTTCTGTTAATGGTTCTTCATCTATGTCTGAGATGGAACAAGAACAACACCAAGAGGTTGCTATGTGTTTGATGCTTTTGTCTAGAGGTTTTTTTAGTCATAAGGGTCGTTTTGTTTCTGAATCTTCTGATAATAATAGCTCGGTTGTTTTAGAGACAAAACCGTACGTTTCTGATAAAAAGATTGTTATTAGAAATTTTAACAAATTTGTCTCTAGTAATGATCATCATGAAGCTGCCAATAAGAAGCTGAAGCTGAAGTCTGTTGGGATTGGTGTTTCGAATAAATCGGATTCGAGGGATTTCAGATATGCTTCCAAGATCAAAATTGTAGATTCAAAAGATTCAAACTTTGAATTCAAAAGGCCGAAAGATGAAGAAGATAAATCTGGATTTGTCGATTGCAAAAGCAAATACAATGTAACAACAACTGTGGTTAAGAAACCAGGGATGAATAAGGATTTGGATCATGATTCAAGAAAGAAATCGAACTATGAAGGATTTGGTTTTAACAACAACAATAACAAGAATGAAGAAATCCATGAAGATGTTAGAAACTGTTTGAAATACGAGTTTTATGGCAGTGAAAAGGACAATGATTCTTCTTATGTTTCAACAACAGATGAAGAGAGTGATGAAGAAAACAGTTCAGAAAGTGATTCTTTTCCTGCTGCAAAGTCTCATAACAGTAAGAAGAAATCAAGTAACAAAGCTAAGAAGAAGTTGAAGTCAAAGAAAAGCAAGGAATATGAATGTCCAATTTGCTACAAAATTTTCAGGTCAGGACAAGCATTAGGAGGACATAAAAGATCACATTTTGTTGGAGGATCTGAAGAGAACACTACTTTTGTGATCAAACAAAATGCTGGTCCTTGTTTGATTGATCTCAATCTACCTGCTCCTGTTGATGAATAAACAAAATGACCAAATGGGTTATCTTTGATTTTACTTTTACATCATTTTTTTGAAGCTTCTTCTATTAAGGTACTTTAATGAATATCTTGAATTTTAAGAATATTTTTTTGTCATTATCTCAAATGATGATAGCAAATTGCATTGTAGACAAAGTGATAATAACCACCAGAAACTCACACTCACAACCCTGAGATTCAGGGTTCAAACGCTGGTGTTCACGTTGAGTTAGGAAGTTAGGATTTGCGACTTGTTGTTTCGTGTTAATAATGGAACATGACAATTTCATAGTCTTGAAAATTTTGTTTCACCCTTGATTGATTGAATCAATATTCTAAATAATTGTGAGTTTGAGGTAGTTGTAAGGTTACCTAACATTAAGGTAGGGAAAGAAAAGCATATAATTGCAACATGTGTACGTGTTATACACGTAGTTCTAATAGTAGAAGAATTTGTATACTTTTTCTCTTCATGCCAATTACTATATATGTGGTTTATGAGAGGACCACAAAGGTATCATCATACTACCTTCTGGTCTATCATGTGGGCTCAATAAACAAATTTGGAGCACTCAAGAATCAAATTAACTCGCATATGAACAAAATTGCAAGGTATGTGTGGAATTATTACAATGAGATAATGCCACTCTATGAGGATTGTGAAGAGATTTTCATGAGTAATTAAATTATGAGACCACTGTAATTAAAATATAAGTGTCGTTTGATTGTGTACAATTTTGTCTGGTTCTATAAATCTGAATTTGTTGGTGAATTAAAACGCAAGAGTCAATGGTAATTAAGTGCAATAAGTTGGTGAAGAATTAAGTGGTTTAGTGTGATCATGCTTAGTGATGAGGGAACAATTGTTGTCTCTATTACACATAAAGTAATCTGCTAAGCATCAACTTTTCTGCCTCAGTGTGACAAAAATATGAATAGTATTTATCTAGATTGCTTGGCCGGCAGAGTCACAAATTGTTTTGATCAAGTGGCAGGAAAACATAAAATACTAGGAACGGTAGTTTGTTTGGAACAAAAGAGTTTATTAAAAACGAACAAATAAGATGTCGCAGATTCGAACATGCACTCTTGTAATTGTATGTTTCTGCACAACTATCATCTGAGCTAAATGATTCAGATCTGCGTCTTTGCAATCAGATGTCTCTTTATAACTGAGATGAGATAATATATTCCCTTTCTTGAAGTATATTATCTACCATACAATTTTGTGAGCTCATCTAAAATTGAAGTATACACCTAAACTTTCCTAATTTATAACAAGGTATGTAGTACTAGTACTAAGTTATTATTACCAACTTTATAATTGAAATATTGAAAATAAAAATAGTAGTCTCTATTTGTCTGCAATGGAATTTCTGTTAAACTGTGTGCAGACTATGATGTCTGGCTTAATAAGAATAAGATAATTGATTCGTTCTAGGGTGGGCTCAATAAAAGTTGTGAAAAAAGGGTAAGAGGAGGTTGAATAATTGCAAGGGGTAAGAAGTGTCCATGTGATCTAAGTGGATTAATACTTTGAATTTTTTTATGACTTTTCTTTATGAGACGTTTCAAACATCTATAACAGTGAAAATCACCACATTATTAGAAGTTTAGGTCCTCCAAGTTTTTATAAAATGAGGAATGAACAAGATAAATGAATTTTGAGGTATTAATATTGTAGGAGAAACCCAAAATCCAAAATTAAATGAGAAAAAAATGAATAGCGGAGAGAGCAAGAGATTTGGAGAAAAATAGGAGGAAAAATAGTTGTTTTTAATAACGATTTAAGATGGAGTATATATATAACAATACACATTAATGTAATTAATCTAACTAAATAAAAATAGAAATTTCAAATATGTAACGATTACACCAAAGGTGTAATCAATTACACTACACTACTGTCTCAAAATATTGAAAAACTGGACAGTGCTAATCAATTCCCCAAAGTTGTTAGGGGTGTAAGTGGATTAGAAAAAATCAATTAAATCGATAATTCAAACTTAAAAAAAAACTGATTGTTTTTATTTCGGTTTCAAAACCGAACTAAAACAATGAAAACTGATGTGGTTTGATTCGATTTTCGGTTTTAGTGTTTAAAAGTTATCAAACTAATGAACTGAACCAATGCTATAATTACGCTCTAAATCTTTTATTGCACTCATCATTAAGCCCAAATTTTGTATCGGTCTAACTATTCTCCATTTTTGTTTATGTTTTCTTCCTCTTAGCAAACGCGCATCTAGAACCAAACTCCAAAACATATAAAGTAGAAAGTCACAAAAATTTGTTTTCACCGAACTGCTGCTCTGTCCGCCTACCACTACCGTTGCTCTATCTACTATCATTCTGATATGTTATGGTCAACTTCTTCGTGTTCAAGTTCTCTTTGTTAGTTTTTTTATACCTTTTTTGTTTCTTATTCTTCAAAAAAATTTCTTCTAATCTTGTTACCAAATAGTTTAGATGTGGTGTTTGAAGTTACAAAATAGCTTTTAAGTGTGTTTGAAAATTTCCATTGTTATTGTTGTGTTTTATTTGACTAGCTTTCAAATTCCTTAGCAACTTTTTGATGTCAAGTGTCAAATTTTATATTTGATAATGAACTTATTTCACGATACAATGAAAATTATGTCACTATTTCGTATGGATTAAGAAAAACTTGTAATTTGTTTGAAAAAATAGAGCATGAAATCAATTACATGAAATCTAATATTTAAAAAAAAAAACAGGATAGTGGAGAATACACATATGAATATAATGTTTGAAAAAAAATTGTAAACGATCAATCAAAACAAACTAAATCAAACTAAATGGTTAATTTGGTTTGGTTCCATTTTTGAAAAATGATAAAAACCAAACCAAAACAAACCAATGGAGATATCATCGGTTCAAACATTTTTTTATACCAAAAACTGATCCAAACTGAACCAATTACACCCTTAAAAGTTGTAACCGATTACATGTCAATTTTGTTTGATTCTGACTGCTGCTGAAGTGATGGTAGTCGGTTACACTCCTGTTGTAACTTATTACACCAACTTGAATTATCACATTTTCATAACACACCATCTTAACTCAAGTCTTCCAAGTCTTTCATACTCATGTGCTTTTAAAACCTCTTGAACACTTCAACGGTTACTTCTTTGGTTAGCAAACTGGTCACTTAATTTTTACTTTTGTAATACCATAATTTTAATTTTTCTTTACTCACAAGCTCTCTCAAGTAGTGGAATCTCATCTCTATATGTTTGGCACTCCCATGTGCATGGTATTTTTAGCAAGGTTTATAGCAGAAACATTGTCTATCATTAAAGTCATAGTTTCATTCTCTTCACTGCAAAAATAGAATTTATAGCTTCCACCTTTATCCATAGCAGGAAATAGAATTTCATACCCAATCGAATCGTTAACGTATCTCAGAGTTCTCTTGAATGATGTCAAGTGTGATGCCTTTGACTTCCCTATAAATATGCTCACTATGCCCACACTAAACGCCAAGTCTATTATCGTATTTCACACATACCACAATGATCCAATCAACATCCTATATTGAGTTGGATTAATATCTTGCTCGCTTCATTCTTTGACAACTGGAATATTGGCTATGCAGAGGTGATTGTCACATTACAAAGCTCCATTTTGAATTTCTTCAATATCTCAAAAGCATGTCTCTTTTGATGCATGAGTAGTTCTTTTTAAGACTTGTGAAGCTCAATGCCAAGGAAATATGCTTGACACCAAAGTCGGTTATCTCAAACACCTTCATTATACCACCTTTGAACTTGGTAATGTAGCATTCATTGTAGCCCCTAATCAATAAATCATCAACGTAGAGACACATGATGACCACTTTATTACTTATATCCTTCTTCACATACACACCATGTTCAGATACAAATTTATCAAGTTCTATCTCATTTAGAGACCCATCAATTCTTGCATTCCAAGCTATTGGTGCTTACTTCAGCCCATACAACACCTTCCATAATATATAGAACTTAGATTCCTGATTTTTACTACAAAAACAGGTGGTTGTGCCACATACACCTCCTCTTCATAATGACCATTCAAAAACGCAGGTTTGACATTCATTTGGTAGATGAACCAATTTTGTTATTTGTAATACCAACAACTAGCCTAATGATTTCACTTCTAGTCACCAGTGCAAATACTTCTTCAAAATTTATGCCTTCTCTTTGCAAATGTCCCTTTGCAACTAATCAAGTCTTATGGTTGATTATTTCACCTTAGGCAGATCAACTATTTCTCATGTCTTATTTTTCCTCAATTGACTCCAGCTCATCCTTCATTGAAAATATCCACTTTGGATCACTCGAAGCCTCCTATGTTTTCACCGGTTCAGATTCAACCATGAGCGCAAAATGGATGAGATCACCATTGTCGTTTATTTCAATATCCGAGAACAACTCAAAATATTATAGTCTTATAGGTATGCCTATTTGTCTCATTGATCTTCTCACATTTTCTTTAACTTGGACTTCATCGACTGTAACTTCTACATTCCCAAACACTACATGAATAGTTCCAACATTGTTGTAATCAATTACATCATGTTGACGGTCCCTGAATTCATCAAAAATCACGTCCCTATTGATTATGATTATTTTGTTTATTGCGTCATAGAGTTTGTACCCACCCTTACATTGATACTCAACAAGTATCATTTGCTTTCCCTTGTCATTTAACTTCTTTCTAAGCTGATCCAAAATATGTCTATATACAACCAAACCAAATACCTTCAAATGACTCATATTTGGCTTAAATCTGGAACATGATTCTTCGGGTGTAATACTTTTCAGCTTCTTTCTTAGAAACCTATTCAACAAATATGCAGTTGTGAACACCGCTTCTCCTCATTACTCTTTTGGAAAGTTCTTCCCTTTGAATATGTTTCTCACCATTTTCATAATAAATCGATTCTTCATCTCTGCGACTCCATTTTGTTGAGGCGTATAGGGTGGCACTACCTCATGTACG